TACTAGTAGTCTTAAACGCTCCGAATATTATTTATTTTATTGCATCATTTGTAGCTATGCAGGAGATGCTTTTTCATTCGCTCATCGCTACTCATTATGAGTATTTTAAAGACTGTCATCACTACACTAAATTATCACGATTAAATGAAAAACATCAGATTCAATTCACTTACAAATATTGTCTCAGATTGAGATCGTTTTCTCTTGTTAGTCGGTATTGGTAAGTTTTTGCGATGCACCTGAATATGGTAACGACGATTAACGTTTGACTTTTCAAAAACGAACGATCGCTGATAACAATTATTACATAAATTCATTCGACGTCTTAAGGCTACAAATAATCTTCCAAATCAATTTAAGATCAAATCGTACCTTCTTCGGGGTCGGTGCACTTTCTACGGCCGCCGTCGCCGCTGGGATGTTCAATGCGGCGTATGTTCCTTGATACTCGGCGGCCTCCAAAACTTGTTCGCCCGGTCGTCCGAATACCTTAGCCGGTGCACCGGAGGTTAGTGGGTGCACGATTAGTAGGACGTTAATGACGCGACAAAACGCGTCAGTTAGTTGATCGGGAATTATTCCCGTTCGCTCGATTTCGGCTGAAAAATGAACAATTAATTAAAACATGCCCAAAAGGGCAACTAAATTCAACCTATGTTCGATATACTACTGCTAAAGCTTACGATCTACATCTGAAGTTCAAAGTTTCTATCGTCATTCATCTGAATCACTTTATTTCTGGGATGATTTTTTGGACTGTAATGTGTTCAGGATCGTAGATTTTGGTCGATTTCCTCTCAGAGAAATGAAATATTCATCAGCTTTTTGCGATTTCTATACTATATCCTATTTACTGCTTATAGCGCAGTTATTATCTATTAAAGTATTGGCTTGTAAACTGTGAGTGAGCGATTTCATTTATGTTTCAAGAACGACTCACAAGAAAAAAAGTTTATTTCAAGAACTGGTTGAATTGCTTCAATATAACTCACCGATTTGTCGTCGGTTAATAGGGCCCGCACGCCTCGCCATAAC